AAAATGAGCTTCAAAACTGAGAAGACCAGTGAGTGCAATCAGCAATGTCAGTTTATCTTTGACATAAAGAATCTTAAAAAAAAAACAAAGATATTCCCAAATATGAAAAGGGTACGACAACTATGGATTCCCCTCCAGTCACTCCCAGTTGACAAATAGAAACAGCTCCCCCACTGTTTCCAGTTTTACCCTACTGCCTACTGTGGCCCCTCTCCTCGGCCCCCGCACGTGCTATCCTGTCATTCATGTCCCCCTCACCCCGCTCCAAAGATCACCCCCTATCATCCAGTTAATAGCATGATCTCCTCTCTGATTTTGCCACGTGGATAAATGACGGCCCTTGACGCATTTGCCCACCCACCCAACCAATCTTGATGATGTTTGGGCCATCAGTAACATGAAAGTTTGTCAACTTGTCGTGTCCAAGTCAGTAAGTTTCTGATGCACACCGGTACTGCTCTTTTGAAACAGCCTCTGGTTTTTCTTTAGCAATCTCAGGGCTAATTGACAGCATTGGATTGCCTCAAAATAATTAAATTTTGGCTTCTACTTGCCCACAGTTTGTCAAGACTGATTTCGGTAGATCAAAGAATCTCTACAATGTAAGATTGAGAGAGTACTTGCCTTCTACAATGTAGCTCAAAGAGTCCCTTTATATAGTAAAACACTATGATTTCTCTCCCTCCAGCTATATATCAAGGAGGCAAAAGAGTAACATAAAACTCAAATAATGTCTTCAAACCTACTTTAGGATGAAACTTCTCTTTAAAATGGTGGAACATGGTTGCTAGGACAAAGATTCATTGATCTATTTTAATTCTAGATTAATGGTACATTCACATGGAAGGGAATGCAAAACCCTATTATCTTATTCAAAATGTGTCTAGCATGCTTAGTTTGAATTACTTTTTGGTTGTTAAATAGATTACTTCTATCTAATCATAAATAAAAAATTATTTTTAAAAAATGGAAGGTAGCCAGACAATCTATATACCAACAAGAGACTTGACATCCTATGTTAGAAAAAAGAAAGTTTTTTTTTTTTTTATAATTTGGTACTATTCAATTTCCACAAGTTTTCCACTGGCTTTTAGAGATTGTGATTTTTCTTTCTCTTGTCTCTTTTGGCATCACCTCTAATTTAAAGACTATTACCTGAAAATAAATATTTGAGATGTTTTAAAAAAAAAAAAGGGTATGTTTTCTATCATGTGATCATATGTCATTAATGAACGAAAAATCCTCTCTCCATTTGGTCTCTCGTTCGGTATTCTTTTTATAACATTATGTCGCATGTCTAATAAATTTTTTATAATGAAATTTAAGGTTTAGAGTTTTTGCTTTAATATAATATAAGATTGGACATGTAACGTAAAATTATGAAAAAAAGATCAAGTGTAAGGAGAAGGATTTTTATTTGTGGTTAACTACTTGAGTTTAACATTTGAAATTAAGGGTGGGGTAAGATTAATTTGGATTAGTATTAGCTAGTTCATAAAAATAATAAAAGTCACTAATTATTTTGTTAGTCTGGGATTGGAAGTCCAAAAAGAAAATCCGAAGCAAAGGCCCCAAATTTTGCACAAGGCCTAGACTTGGGCTAAACTGGACCATCTAGAACAAATGAGCTATTCATTCGTGAACTTTGGCTCTCAAACTAAGGACCCTAATAGCCCATTTAAAATAAGCTTATGAAGCTTAAAATAATCTTGGATCTATCAAATTCGTGTAAACACGTTTATAATCCGTATAAAATAAACTAACATAGATAATTATGAATTAAATTTTTACTGAAAAATGAAAATAAGATAATTTACATTTTTAGCATTATCATTTTATAATCTCTTTTTCATTAATTTAAATTTATTTATGATCACAAAATAACTTCTCAAAAAGTGACATCTCAAATTATAATTTTTTTTCTCATTTCGATCAATGGAATAAATCAAAAATTATAAAGTCAGTGGAATATGGTACCGAATTGAACTACAGGACATAATGTGAATTAATTACTCATAATTAATAGTGCCAAAGAGTTCAATTAATGCAAGTCCTTCACCAATATGTTAGGGTGTAGCTGCTCTAACCCTACACAGGAATCCCAAAATGTACGTACGTAATATATATCCCTACCAACCGATTTGTCTTGGGTATCTATCCTTGTCTTTACTTTTGTCAGACTAGTTTTGAAAGAAAGTTTTTCGGTTTGGGGTTGAAAGGAAAAAGGCTAACAGTATTTCAACACTCATGAGTCAAAAGATAGTATATATCCAATAACCAATGAAGCACAATTTGTCCAAAAAAGAAAAAAAAAAACCTAACATCACATCATGTAGAGTCCCATAAAGTATAGAATGGGGCCTAACTTGACTGTATATAGACTCATGAATCAAAGGATTTGAGGAATGCTAGCTACACTTACTTGGGCATAGTAGCTTTTCTACATTCTTTCATTGCACGTAGTGACTCCTGAACCCCTCTTCCATATGAGAAACTATGATAAGTTTATCATAAACACTGGCAACAGTGATATGATTGAGACTAGAGGGTGAATATACAATCATGGATGGATCCAGAACTGAAAAATGAAGTGATGGTAGGTGTATATGCATTTATACAAGAGCCATGAGTGGAGGAAATGAATAAACTATATATGCTTATTTAATGTTTAACCGACTTGCCATATGTAAATGCAAGCTTCTTGTTGCTTTCCTTGCCTTCATATTTTTATTAGGTGGTTTCCAAGGATGGTGGATGGCAGCCAAGGAAGCAAGCAAAAGCATTAAATGGGAATGGGAGTGGGAATGGGAAGACTGTGCTTTCACAGGGCAGGAGCTGTTATTGTGATTTAAAAAAAGGGGCTGCAACTTTCAACTTGCAACTTGCAACTTGCAACTTGCTGAGTACATAAGGTGGGGGCCAATTTCATATAATAATAATAACAATAATTAAGGATGTGACTTTGGGCAAATTTTTGATGATGATGACCAAAGTTGGGATGCTAGCTTGGAAATTCAGCAACTATAATCCATCAACACCGACATAATTTATTAATATCCTAACCTTGTATTTACTAATAATAATTCTGATTTTATCATATTTTTAAATTTTTTTCCTATAATACATGCAAGGTGTGCTGTGATCTATAATTCAAGTCCAAGACTTTACCAAAACCATAATTTTTGTTTATTTATAACTTTGTGATTTTCATTTCTACTTTAATTAAAACCAACATGTCAAAATCAGCAGCAAGCAAAGAGAAATTGATGAAGTTGTAATGGGATAGCTTGCTTGTTGCCTTGGTTTGACACCCTTTGGGGGATGTTGCCTTCTTTAGTTTTCACATCTTAACTATGGTTTAACTCAGTAATTTATATATGGACTAATTTCTACTATTGAATTTTTACTTCAACACTATGTATTTTTTAACAATTGAAAACTCAAATTCACACATGATCTCAAAAAGTACAAAAAAAAAAAAAGGGAGTTACCAAACATGGCAAGTGTTGTATGCTTGTTTCTTACTTTGCTTTTTGTGTGGATGTTAAATGTTAGTATTAAATCTATTAAAATTATTAATATCAATCCATCAAGGGCTTGTCTTTGATATGATTGTTCATTGAATATCAGATTTGTTTAATTAATTTTATCTTCCCTATCTTTTATGATTCCCAAACACGACATTAATCTTAACCAAATTCTTTAAAAAAAAAGAAAAAATAAAATATTAATCAAATCATTTTGCTTAATTTGTTTTTGACAGCATCAAGTGCGAACCCTATTCTGGACAGATAGATCCATACATAGATCCTTTAACAACCTTTGAAAGGTGACACTGTCCTCATGCACACATCTCTCTCTTCTTTTCTCACAGGTATAGTACCTCCCCAACTTCCTTCTTCTCTCTCTCTTTAAAAATAGCAAACCTCACAGGGAAAGAAAATAAAAAGGCAGATTCTTGAGATCTAATCCTCCTCTTTCTTGCTTTGTTTTGGTTCTTCATAGAGGGAGATAACCCACAGCATCTCTTTCTTAGATCTCAACAAGACTTGCCCATTTCGTTTTTTTCTTTGTGCTTGAAACCCAGTAAGCTTTGTTCCTTTTTAAGCTTGTTTTTGCGAATACGTTTCTGGGTTTTCATTGAAATTTCGTTTCTTTCTTTTTGATCGGGGATCTGATTTATGAGTTTGCTTGCTGTTGCTGTAGTTCTAATGGGTCAGTCTCAATTTTCTATCTTTACTTCAAGAATGTTAGGTTTTTTGTTTCCCTTGGAATCAAAGTTTGATTCTTGATGGTTGATTTTGTTAGTTTTGATGTTTTTTCTTAATGCAAAAATGTAGATTTGGTCGAGTTTTTTACTCTGATCTGTTGATTTAGTTCATTAGAGTTACTAAGTAGCTGTCGCTCTCATGATTAGGATTGTTTCAATTCAAGGGAAAAGGAGCATTAGTTGCATGTTTTTTAGTGCTTTTTCATGGATCAATCCTTTTCATTGATTGGTTGTCAATCCACTGGTTACAACTATAGACAGTTATCACCATTTAGAATTGCTCCTTCCTTTTTTTTTTCTTTTCCTTTTTCTTAATTATGAATAATGAGTTTTTACCTATCGATTTTGACTATTAATATGGATCTGAATCTGCTACTCAAGTTTAAAGTTTGGTTTTGAACTTTATTATTGAATCTTCTGCAACACAATGTTTTGAGCCAATGGTAATGGATTGGTGCTCATTCACCAGATTAATTAGGCATTCCTTAGCACCATGTTATTGGTTTTGAACTTTATTATTGAATCTTCTGCAACACAATGTTCATTGGTTGCTGGCTTTGCTGTTATTCTCTTGCACCATGTTACTGATTAATTGATAATTTAAATTAATAGTATATGATCTTTCAAACTTGAATTTCAAAATTTTATTCTAAAGGGGTCATACAGGAGCAACTTCTTTAACTTGTGTGCACGACTCTGTGCTGAAGAGAATCACCTGATGGTTTCTCTTGTGTTTTACAGGTTGAAGGTGTACGGTGTTTCTTTTTGACAAGTTTTGAAGTGATTTCATCAGTCATTCAATAGATTAGAGCCTGATGGTAGCAACAAAACTGATTTATTTGGAGTAGAAAATTTGATGTGGGATAGATTTTGGATAGGGGGATCCTTTTTGTGACAATTTAGAACTCAATTGAATTCTCTTTGTGGAGAATCTTATAACTACAGAAGGATGAGGGGAAGATCTGATGGAGGCCAAAAGAAGCGTTCAATCATCTCTCTCTGTGTTATGGCAATTTTTCTTGGTTTTCTTTATGCATATTATGGATCTATTTTCGGATCTTCAAGCCGTGGTGCTGCAGCTCTAGAATATGGCAGCAGATCTTTGAGAAAACTTGGGTCATCTTATTTGGGTGGAGATGATGACGTTGATGGCAAGCAATATGAAGGAGAAGAAGATGCCATACCAAAAACTTTCCCTGTAAGTTTTTTTACTGCTGAAGCATGTCTAAGCACCTTCCTCCTTTCATCTATCCATCCCTTAGGCCCTCCTTCGTTGTCCTTTCCTGTCAATTCTAAACTTAGTAACTTACCCTGTAACTTGTAATACCCCTTTGCCTCTTGTCTTGGTTAGTTGCCATGGCATTTAATTCTCTGCTTATGTCTTTGAAGGTCTGCGACGATCGACATTCAGAAATCATTCCCTGCTTAGACAGGAATTTAATATACCAAATGAGATTAAAGCTGGACTTGTCTTTGATGGAGCACTATGAACGTCACTGCCCCCCTCCTGAAAGGAGATACAATTGCTTGATCCTCCTCCTCCAGGATACAAGGTATGGAATACCATAAGCTGAGCAATCAGAACATTGTTACTGTTAATTATTTTTTTTGCGGTGGTCATTATCAGATTTATCATATATTGACCTCTTTTAACTCATGTGAAATTACAGATCCCCATTAAGTGGCCTCAAAGCAGAGATGAAGTATGGAAGGCGAACATTCCCCATACTCACCTTGCACATGAAAAGTCTGACCAGAACTGGATGGTTGTAAAAGGTGAAAAGATTGTATTTCCAGGGGGAGGCACCCATTTTCACTATGGAGCTGACAAGTATATTGCTTCAATTGCAAATGTAAGATTGCCAATGCCTATTGATTTTGGCTTTGCTTGATAATTAAAGGGCATAAATGGGGAGGACCACTTAAAGTCAGTAAGACAAAGCTGGCGAACGAGACCGAAAAGAAGAAATATTGAAAACATGATCGGTGATCTTGAACGCCCTATTATAGAATGGTCGTTTGTGTATGTCTATTTGTGTTTTCTGCATTATGTTTTGATTCCTTCCTTCTTTTATTGGAATCAATTCTTCAAATATAATGGCCCTTATTAATGCGTCTGAAACCTATGAAAGAAGCAATGACATTTCTATGGTTTTGAACTGGCAGATGCTCAACTTTTCGAACAACAATTTAAATAATGAAGGAAGACTTAGAACGGTTCTTGATGTTGGCTGTGGTGTTGCAAGTTTTGGAGCATATCTTCTTTCTTCTGATATTATAACAATGTCTTTAGCGCCCAATGATGTGCATCAAAATCAAATCCAGTTTGCCCTGGAAAGAGGAATTCCCGCATATCTTGGTGTTCTGGGAACCAAGAGGCTCCCTTACCCAAGCAGATCATTTGAACTTGCTCATTGTTCTCGCTGTAGAATTGATTGGCTTCAAAGGGATGGGATTCTTCTTCTTGAGTTAGATAGGTTGCTTAGACCTGGGGGCTATTTTGCCTACTCATCTCCCGAAGCTTATGCACAAGATGAAGAAGATCTCAGAATATGGAAAGAGATGAGTGCCCTTGTGGGACGTATGTGTTGGAGAATAGCTGCAAAGAGGAACCAAACTGTCATTTGGCAAAAACCTTTAACAAATGATTGTTATATGGAAAGAGAACCTGGTACCAGTCCACCCCTCTGCCGCTCTGATGATGATCCAGATGCAGTTTGGGGTGTGCCAATGGAAGCTTGCATCACTTCTTATTCTGACCGTGAGTATATTTCTTTTTCAATTTTACTAGCATTAAAGTCTTTTCCCACCTCCTTTAGTTGATATTTTCTTCCATTTTTATTTATTATTATTATTTTCTTTTGGAGGATGCTGATGTTTAAATGCAACTTTGAAAATTGTCTCTCGAACTTTGTTTTTGATTAGTTTGGAAGTTGACTTTAGCTCTTTATTTTACAGCATTTTCATATTTAGATTTTATTTCTGAAGTGATAAAACTGATCCACTAATGGTTTTGATATCTCTTACTTCCACTGATATGTTGCTTACCTACTTTAGTAAACATGAACTGGTTTTTCTATGACTACACATCATAAGTGGTAAGGCTTACATCAAATTTTGATGAGCTGAAATCTTGATGTATGGATTATGTCGTTGAGTTTCTTAACAGTAAGTTTGGTTGGGTTTTGGCTTAAGTGGTAAAGGTAGAAGGATGGGAATCTTACCAATAAAAAGAGATATTGGCTTGTATTTTGGGAATTAGTGGTCTCTGCTTCCATTTTTGTTGAATTGTTTTTCATCTGCTTGAGTAATGTGGTATCTAGTGCATTCCTTCTGCTCATTTTATTGTCGCTGAATATTTGTGAATTATGTGATCTAATTGTTGCTGAAATGCATGTGACTAGAAGCTATGCTATATTTTGCAATGGAAAACTACAGAGATTCTTTTAGTTGATGGCTTTAAAGGGTTAAAGCTTTAAAGTTTATCTTAACTAAAACTTCTCTTTGTTTCTATCAGATGACCAGAAAGCCAGGGGGAGTGGATTGGCTCCTTGGCCAGCCAGATTGACATCTCCGCCTCCCAGGCTTGCTGACTTTGGTTATTCAAGCGAAATGTTTGAGAAAGACATGGTAAGGCAGCATTATTCATTGATGCCTTCATTTATGGTTTCTTGTGCTTATAATGTGATTTATGCAGCAATGACTTACAGTATCGACACTGATATAGCTTTTGATATTCCCCAGGAAACATGGCGCCGGCGGGTAGAGAGTTATTGGAATCTCTTGAGTCCAAAGATTGAGGCAGACACTTTGAGAAATTTGATGGACATGAAAGCAAACATGGGATCATTTGCAGCTGCTCTGAAAGGCAAGAATGTTTGGGTGATGAATGTTGTCCCTGAGGATGGACCAAACACACTTAAGCTGATATATGACAGAGGCCTGATTGGCACTACTCATAACTGGTATGCACAAATTAACTTAGAAAATTTGCGTAATTAATTCTGAAATATGTAATTTATTTTTCTTTTATGTTAAAGGCCATAATTTTGTATCTACATGTCATGTCTCCTGTTTTTGCATACTATACAACCATTCGTCTCTTTCGAATGAGGTAGAGAGGGAGAGAAATTACTATCAGTGAAAGGACTACGAGGTGTCTCTGGTGAAATGGAACCTTTAACAAAACACAGCTATGGCTTTTTCCCCATTTTTTTTGAGAAATTAATGTCACCTGCCTGGCCTTTTTTTAAGAAAAAAAAAATACAGTGATGCTTTTCCTTTTTCATCTCATAAAGGTCTTTTCCTTATGGCTGGTTAAATAGTGAAATGAATGTTGAAGATAGAATGTAAAATTTGCATTAACTGGTTTAATTATTTTTGCAGGTGTGAATCCTTTTCCACATACCCTCGAACTTACGATTTACTACATGCTTGGACTGTCTTCTCTGATATTGAGAAGAAAGGCTGCAGTGCTGAGGATTTGTTACTTGAGATGGATCGCATTCTCAGACCAAGTGGTTTCGTAATCATCCGAGACAAACAACCAGTGATGGATTACGTAAGGAAGTATTTATCAGCTTTGCACTGGGAAGCAGTAGCAACAGCTGATTCCAGTTCAGATTCAGATCATGAAGGGGATGAAGTTGTGTTTATCGCCCAAAAGAAGGTGTGGCTGACAAGTGGAAGCCTCAGGAATTCTGAATAGAAATATTTCAGCCTCACGATTTCCCCCTTCTCTCCCCTGTATCTTCTGCAGCTCCCGAGGGATTAAGAAGCTCTCCCGAATTAGTGATGCGATAAACAATTTCATTTTGTAGCATTAAGCAATGCTTCATATTATTTTTTTTTAGCCCTTTTTTCTTGTAATGAATTACTTGACAAGCCATAAACTGGTCACCATCAATAGGCTATTCATCAAAATTTTTTTATCCCTCTCTTTTGTGGGTTGTCCAAAGCTACTTCAGCTTATGACTAATAATCAAATGCAAAAATATGTAATGCTGAAGTGCATAAACATTGTGGATTTTTACTTCCCAAGTTATTCCATAAATGAAATATTCTTCTCTGGTTGGGCGACCTTTGGACACTTGGTCGCTATCACTGGCAACTCACGCGGAGTGATGGGTTTGGGATGGGCTGTCATGAACAAACTCGGGCTTGGGACAAAAAAGGTGGTGAAGGATGGGATTTGCAGTCTGGCATGAAAAGAGTACGCTGTAACTTTCGTGTATGACGAATCTATCACCAGCGGTTTCTTTCTAGTAGCTAGCCTGTAATAGTAGAGATTCGTCTTAAAGATTTTTACGCTGATTTCTTGAGTGGGGACGTTTTACGTGCTTCACAAGTTTGACTATCAACATTTCTGGCTATTGTTTTTCCTTTCACAACTGTAACGCTACTCCTCTCTTTGCCTTGTCCTTTGGGGTCCCCTTACCTATTGGACAGACTAGCAAAATGATAGGAATCCCCGCTTTTCTGCCTATAAAATATAGAGAAGGAAATATAACAGTTGAAAAGCTAGACCAAGTTTATTGACCAGGAAGTTGGAAGGATGTGAATGTTCCCTGGATTAGATTCCATCAATTCTCCGTAAATTTTCCGACATTTGACATGAATGCACACGCTTTCATGCATTCACAATGACTTAACAAATCAACCCATTCTTCAAATTTTCAGGCAGTAACTTCTAATTCATCGTTGAAAGAACAACCAACCAGTCAAGAAGAGGATCTCGGCATAGCTTACTTAAATAAGGGAGTTGAGTTTAATTACTTATTATTGCCTAACTGTCGAGCAAACCAACATATCCATAATGTTCCATAAATACTTTGAAGCCATGACCACATGCATTGTCCTAATTTCCCCTACTGTGAGAAGTGGGGATATGTTCCCTTGCCATAGGCATTTGCCATTGCCTCCCAACATCTCCTCCAAGTTCCCAATCCCTGTGTCAGTTCCCATTGGCCATGGTCTCCAAAACCCAACCACCCCATCTCTATGCGCCAGCACCCATCATGTTAGTAGACTTGAATATCCCCTTTCAATGGGGACATATATACAGGACCCTTTCATGAACCTCATGACTGTCTGTAACAACAAATTGTTGTTTCTCTTGTTCTACCTTTTTGTTTTCTTGTTCCCTGGGACCAGTGGCCAAGTGGAGTGTTTTCTTCTTCTTTTCCCTTTTTCCCCCTCTTGTTTGCCAACTGTCACAAAACCTAAGAGCACCCATTGTTTCTTCATGTGTCCCTCTTGTTTTCTTGCCACTTGGTAAGGAATAGAGGCTAAAGTCTAGAATGCAAGCGATATTTGAAGTCCCGTACTTGACAAATTAATGACTGTTAGAAGCAGTAGTGCTAATTTTTTCATTGACTTCCATTTTGCAAATATCAGATGGAATGATTCATGAGGTCAAAGACAAAAAGTTTTCAGATTAGGACTTAAACCCCCTTCCCCCTACTCTTCTACTCTTACAAAAAATTAGTTTCTTTTGAAAATCCAACACCTCTTCATGACATGATAAATGCTCGAACCTAAACTTTGGTTTTTCTGCAAATTTCCTCTAAAGGAAGGTAAATGTATAGGATCCAATTCCCATTGTCTCTTCAATCTTGTTCAAATCATGTGAAAAATATGTGAAATTTATTCTAAAAGCTTCTTTTAGTAATTGTAAAATAATTTTTCAGAAAATAATGTTTTTAGTGAAAGGTATTCAAAATAGATTTTTGCTAACCAAATTATCATAAATGAAACTTAAATATTGATGGTATTTCATTAATAGTACCTTATAGTCTTATATATAAAATACATGTAATTGAATGGTGGGTTCAATTTTATCATCATATCCTCCTTTAGGCTTTAGCTAATACTTGGGTGGCAATGAGACCGACATCAAAGCCTAAATATCAAGATTAATGGACATTGTTTAATTTCAAGCAAATAAATGCTCTGACCATGAAGGGGGGGGCAAGCAAATGGCAATTTATGATGTACAAATAAAGTAATCCGGTGGGGGCATTGGGACAAATTAATGTCTATAGCTTTCACATAAACATAAAACCTTTTCCTCTTTATTTTGAATTTGATGCCTACCCAAATGCCTTCAAAACATAATGGTCCCCAATATGATGCCCTAGTTCTAAGGGAACCCACACCATGCTCATTGCTGATCAACTTGCCATTGGCCCATTGCTTTGCCTTTGCTTTTCCAAGTCTTATCCTTGGTTTAGAAGAGTTTATTGATTCATTTTGTGGGGGGAAAAAAGCATAGAATTACCATTCAAGCAAAGATCAATTTGTTTGTGCTTTCCTTAAGAAGAAGAAGAAGTAATTAGAAATGTAATAATAATCTCATAAACCCAATTTTATCGTAGTACCCAATGAGGCAAATTTTGATTATAATACTTAAAATATTTTCCAAGATATAAATGTCATTTGAATTCAAATATTTAGGGAAAAAATGGGATTTAATTATAATTTACATGCCTATATCTCATGCCAAAATCAATCCATTTACTGTTAAATTTAACCATATGGGGCCATTGGCTTTAATCAAAGTGAGATGTGAGTCTAGTTTGAACCTCACCTGCTAGTGTGAAATTACAAAAATTAAGAAATAAAAATAAAATTCTCTCTCTCTCTCTACCATGCACTCATTGTAATCATCCATACTATGTTAGGTTCATACTGAAATGCCTTAGTTTTGAGGGCATTTGACATGAAAGGAAATTAAGACAGAGCATAAATGTCTTATATTAGAAGAAAAAAGGGGAACAAAGAAAAAGAGAGAGAGGGAAAAGTAAATGAAATTGTAAAGCTTTTTCATGTATCGCTTTCCAATTAGGATTGCTTCCATATTTTCCAATCCTAAAATACCCTAAAGGCAACATCATAAAAAAGTCAAAGTAGTTTTCCATAAAGTTAAAACAGCTCTGACTTTCTTGAATAAAAACAAAATAAAAAAAAGAAGATAGTAAAAAAGTTTATGAATACTAATTCAGTCATTCAAGTCCTGCATAAATTGCATTTATGTGTATCCACAAACAGTATTCACTTGTACTTCCAAAAAGACATTAATTTTTTTTTAATAATAATAAGTAATGGAAAAAAAGAATTGGAATTTAGGGTTTGAAAGTGATGGGTTATGTCACTATTTTGTTTGAGTATAAGCATCATCTAATGTAATCCTTTGATCCTCCCTTTGACATACCCTCCCCCTTGATATAATTGGCTGTGCTCCAACAAACACCTCCCAACCCACTATCAAATTTGCTTCTTATTTTGCCAAAAAAACATCCAGCATATCTTTGTCTCTCTCTCCACTGCATCACCCACCTTAATGGCTGATAGTAATAACTCTTTCAAGTTGTGCATTTAGGTCAAAGATTATGAGGAGAAAGAGGAAGAAGAAGAAGAAGAAGAAGAGAACGCGTGAACTGGTACCTACCCATTTACGCGTGTTCATTCTTTTTTCCATGACGATGCTGACCCTTGACTCACACACAAAAATGATTTTAGGTTAAAATTAGATGATTTCAATTATTCGGCTTATTTAAGATATAATAAAGTTTATCTTAATTTAGCAATAAGATATGAATATACCATCTTATAATTTATTTAGTAGCGAAAAATGGTTAAAATTAATCTGTTCAACTAAATTTTGTTGAAGAAAAAGGTGTAGGGACCGAAAATGTGATGTCAATGGATCGTTGTATCGGGAGTGATGACGGCCATGTGGGGGTTAATGGGTGAGATTGTTGCGTTCCCTCTAATGGAAGAGCGGGGTTTGAGGTAAGGAATGGTGCCTGCGGCAACTGGGAAGGATGTAGGGTGAGGGACACGTGTCAAGCAAGGCCTCTGTGTCTAAGGCGGACATCAAGGCTTTGAATGTGTTCCAAACAATAAATAAATAAATAAATAAAGTCATTATTTGGGCAATTATTCTTGACAGTTCTGTAATCTAATTATTTGGAAGTGGTCCATCTCTCCATATGCTCCCATGATCTTTACTTGTTATTTCAACAAATTACCTCTAATTTCCTTGTGCCTCAATCCTCCCTTTTGTCAACCCCCAAAATTCTTTTTCTTCTTAATTATAATTTCATTAAAGATTTTTTTATTACTTTTAGACAAAAATAGGATTTGTTAGAGAAATCATATAAAGACGTCAATGAATATCTTATAATCTAATATTATCCGATTTGATTAAAAAAAATTAAAATATCGTTCGAGTAGAATTCGGATAATAAAATTATTATTCGTCACGAATTTAGGT